TCACATTGTAGTAGTAGAGATTTAGTCTCTGCTGTTGCCACTGGATTCATCACTGACTGAAGGAATTGTTGTTGATGGAAGCTCCTTGGTGTTGTTGCTAATGGCCTGGTTAAGCTTGCCTGCCATGGGTGTCTATCACTAATGCCAGTCTGGTCAGGTTTGCCCTCACAGGTAAAATCAGTGTTGCCTTTATAAGTGAGTCAGCGGCTCAGAAATGACTGCTCAGTAAACCATGTGGGCCTTTTCTGATTTGTCATGTTTTATGATACTGATAATTTTGAACAGCATCCTGTAAGTGTGTGCACAGATCCAGTTGAAATTAAAGTCTGTTTTTGTCATATGAACTGTGGATGTTGAAGTGAGCACTTCCATTTGAGTTAAAAAAAATTGGAGTCCTTTGGAAAAAAGCTTGGTGAAAGGCTGAAAAAAGTTCATTATTGTACCCTGCATTATAGACAATCTTTAGTGTAGCAGCATTTTCTTCCAGTGATAATGCAGAAACTGATTGGAGGCCCTAGTTGATACTTTTTAATCCTTTCTATTTTATCAACATTTGCTTTCTTTTCTACCTACATTTATATATATTACAAAATAAACTAATCACAACTATTGATGGATAAAATTTTTTTATGAATTTTGACGTCATTCTAGGGTTTTTTTTTCCCAAATTCTGGAAAAAGTACTATATAAAATCCACTATTTTTATCCATAATGTTGAATGTGTTAAAATTATTCAACTTTTTAACAAGAAAAATCTCAAGTTAATGTTAAAAATTGCTGCAAAAAATTAAAAAAAGATTTTAGATGGGATGATCCATTATGACATGTCCCTAATTTGTATTTAAATACATTGTATTTATTTTCAATGCTTCTAGTTGAATTGTTCACCTATATTGCATATAATCCATTATTGTACATAATTATGTTACAATAAAATTTGTATTTTATATGAATATACTACCTTGAAAATTGAAATGTAGTAGAGTGGGGGAGGGCTCCATATCATAGATTCAGTAGGGATCATGACACCCTTGTACTGGCCTTGATTGACTGCTGTCCAGTGTAGTTAAGTGCATGTAATAGATGTGGCAAAAAAAGCCTATTTTGCAAAGTTACGTTGTTCAGCAAGGCTTGAAACGTGTGCTACACTGTAGTCTCCAATTCTTTCTGCTTGGTGACTGCCTCATAAATTTTACCTGCTGTTACCACCTGGATTAAATTATATGGGAAGACAGGGAACTTTTAGACATGAGTACCACTGAACTGATCCCTGTTTGGATGCTACATTTACATATATATTCAGATTTTAATACCATATAGCATCAACTTCATTGAGTTCTGAAACATCTGGACCTTGTTTGGTGTATGTCTTGCTGAGAGGATCTCAATACCAGAATGTGAAGCTGTTTTTGCTATGTGCTAATGTCATTCTTGGACAGGACTTTATGGAGTAATATTAGTGCATCTATGTAAATTTCGGTGGTGAGTAAATCTCCATTAAATGTGCACATATTGACTACCATTTCTGTTTAGCCTCCTTGACTTTTAGCTTGTCTTACCAATGGTTTTAACCTAGTAGTTATGATCTTAAAATAAACTGGTAGATCAGTAGCTTTCTTTTTAAAGACATTAAATGCTAGTGAACAAAAACTCAGCAATGCTATTGTGGAGGCCATGTGTAAGTGGAGATGTTACTTAACTGCAGGCCATTTTTACTTTTCTTGACAGACATTTCTGTTTGATTGTAAGCAGGTTAATAAAATTAAGAATGTGAAAATTCAGAGATGAAGGTTGAGTTTACTTGCTCCAGGTTTGACATGCAGTATCATTCTGGGAGGGATCACATTACTGCAGATGCTTTGTCTAGCATATAATGTTCTGATATGTTAAATGAATTGCACAATTCTCTTTGTCATTCAGGTTTTATGTAAATTCTAAACTTTGTTAGAAAGGAACCAATGATTCTGTGTTGAGGATGTAAAGAGTTCCATATGCATGCACCATTTGCTCTAATTGTAAATTCCAGTTTCATTGACCTGGTGTATCATATTTGATTAAGGCAACTGTACCATTTATGTTTTAGTGTTGATTTTAAAAGCCCTTTGTCATCAACTTCAATGAGCCAACATTTCTTCTAACATGAATTCTCTTGGTTTCCCTTTCAATTTTGCTTGTCCAGATATGACATCTCAAACAGTTTTCCAGAGCTTTTGCCAGTTATTTACTATATTTAGTATACCTGCATTCATATATTAATTTGTTAATTTTAAAAGCCATGGAATTTCCACTCTTCAGACCAACCTGATAATCCCCAATGCAATGGATAGTGTGAATGGCATAACAGAATTATGTGGCAGGAGCTGTCCTTTTGAGGTATAATTTCAGACAAAGCACAAACCAGTTGTTATTGCAGAAATTCTTGAATCAAATTCTTTGTCTTCATAATGCTAAGGAAACAACAGTGTCACTCCAAGACTCAGTCCCAGCATGACATTTTTGAAATAGCCTGTCTGAAATTCAAAATCCATTCCTTTCTCCTGACAACCTAAATGCATCAGATCACAATATCAATCATAATGAGGATTCTAACCAAAGCACATTGTATAATGAAGTTGAATCTATTGCTCTTAGAGGTGAATCATTTACTTCTCAAAAAAGATAATGATTGTCCTGATAGCCAAGTGCCATTAAGCCAATCTGAGCATCTACACAGGTAAGCACCTGTCAGAATTTATGATTTTAATGATCTGTGGCTATACTTGGCTTATTCTTTGCAGATACTAAGCAGACAGAGGTTTTGTGTTCTCAAGATGCCCCCACCACCACCACCATGCTGTTAATTTTATTTCATGAAAGCTAGTGTGATAATTTTGTTTATTATTTATTAGGTGCTCATCCATATTGTAATTACATTTTCAATTATTCAGTGCAGGATTACTGGCATCATAGTTGACAAAACTATATATATATATATATATATATATATATATATATATATGGTACACTTTGCACTTTCTTCTGACTGAAAGTTGACATAGATTGCTATCATATATATTGTTATGATTTTCTTTTTGTTTTGTTTTTTAAATAAAACCCAATGAATAAATTTAGGTTCTACTACATATACTGAGTTGAGTCAAAAATTAAATGATTGTAAATATTGATGTATATAGTGTTGCTTGGGAAAATAGTATACCGTATATACTTGCATATCATGTGACTCTTGAAGACCTAATTTTGAAGCTAATTTGACTACAGTAAATAAATACTTAATTTGGTCAACAGTGTAGCCAGGGCCAGCAGTACATATGCTAATTTTATATATCATGTATGATGCAATCACCTTAAAATTAGCTTCAAAATTAGGTCTTTCAAAGTAGCATGATACGTGAGGATATGTGGTATATCTTTTCCCAACTGGAACATAATAATGCTTTGTATTTTAGGAATAATTACATATGGATAGAGTTGAAATTTAGTTGTTAGTTTGAATTTTAATTGTTTTTGCAAATAGACAACTGTACAAAACACTGTCAAAATGAAAAAGTTCACAAGTTTACAGAAAAAATAACAACATGAACATAATTTACATATAGAGAATCAATAATATATGCAAAGATGCAATTTTGAGACAAAAATTAAACTGAAAACTTTTCAGTTTAATAATAAAGTTGAACTTTATTATTAGAGCTTTACACTTTCATTTTTGGACATAAACAAAATCAAAATATTTTTTAAAAGATATACTCAGAGAAGCTGTGGGAGCCGTGTGTAGCCTACTTGACAAATTTGAATGAATGGATGGCAGAACAAAAACAAAAAAATAGTAAAGAGACAAAAGTTACTTAGAGTAATAAAAAAGGAAGTTGTGGAGAGCCGTGATCACCTATGTCTTGAAAGAATATGGCATATATAGGTAGTAGTAAAATGTGCCATTATACTAGGAACATGATGATGTAAATTAGTATTTAATATCACAAATATAAGTACATCGAAGGAAATATGTTGTAAAAATGTATAAGATAATGTCATATATTCAGTAACATGTGACAAAGGACATATTTGGTAAGCAGACAACATTATAATCATGTGACCAACAAAGTTCATGCCACCAGGTGTTGATGTAGATTTATGATGATTTTTATTCTATATTTATAACACATAAAATATTCTTTAAGCTTTCTTACAGAGGTCTTTACTATTTTTTTTTATGTAATCAGAAATGCTCAGATGATTTGAACTAAAAAAACTCTTGTCTTTGACCCAGATGGTTTTAAATAATAAACTAACTTTGTTCCTCATTTCACTTCTTTTTCTTACATCATTTATGTATTTCTCTGCTGCAACCACTATGGTGCAATGGAATTAGTTAATAAGATCTCAAATTTCTATTCCCTTAATTAAAAACACAATGCATTGGCATATCATATATACTCATGTCTAAGTCAACTTTATGTATAATGCGACCCCTCAATTTTATTTTATTTTATTTTTTTTTGCATGAATTTTAACCCCTCCAGAAAAAATTACCTGTGTAGTGCAACTGGTTATTCAAAAATGTATGACTTTTAACCTCTTCTAAAAAAAAAAATGACTTGTGTATAGTGTGACCCCCACCCCTTATTTTTTTGTGTTAAAATAAAAAAAATGATCATAAAAACTTGCACTACACTTGAGTATATACAGTATAATGTTGTTTCACAAGTTGGTTATTTCACTGGGTCATTTGTTTTTTGTGTTTTTTCTTTTTTTTGTTTTTGTTTTTTTTTTTTTTTTGTAATTATGAATGGGGGGGAACTCTCCATCAAATGCAAATAATTTTGTTTTTGTTCTTGTAACATTATCTTATTTCTTCTCTTCATCATGTAAGAATTATAAGATTAAGTTTGTTTATATATTATTATATTGCATTGATTTGACAAGTACAGCACTTTCTTAATGATCAGCTTTCTCTCCCTTATTTGCACCTGATGTTTTGTTTCACTGCAATTTTCTTGTAGTGTCATCAAAGATCCTGAAACAAACGAGCTTAAAATTGCATCTTGTCTTTACAAGATAACTGCTTATGTAAGTAAATATTTTTCTTGTTCTTTCCAGAATCAGTTGATCAGTAATCACACTTTAACTATTAGAATATGATCTGAATTTAAATTTAAAAAAAAAATTTAATCGTGCATAACATTTAACTAAATATCAAGTATGGCAGCCTTTCAAGAAATGTTATTCATATTTTATTTGTTGATAAAACAATAAAACTAATTAAAAAACTATAACTCATTGTGTCAAAGCATCTGAGTTTTAAACATATTGTGCCCAATTCTATTAGTTTCTCTATACAACACAATTTTAAGTTGATTATTTCTTAAATTCATTTTGAATGTGTATCTTTGTATCTTATCTAGAAAGTTTTTTCCATTTCTGAATAAAACTTTTAATATCTATATATACAAAATATATTATAAATTCCTGTATCTCATGAAAGAATTTTTACTTATTTGCTTTGCAGCAATAATCACAAAGTTTCTTTGAGAAATACACTTTTATAGACCTTGTATATGATGTATTAAGTCACGTTTTTGTCATGTATTCATATACTTTCTTATTAATACTAAGGATTATTTGCTTTTTAAGCATGTAGTTATGCCCCATTTAAGTCACTTAGGCATATTCATACTTTTTCTTACTTTCATCCATCATAATGAAATTATCGAAGATTAAAGAGGGTAAAAATTTAGCCTTGTAAGAATATTTAACTCGTCCACAAAGGAAAAGAAGAATGCAAATAAAGTGCAAATACAAATATTTTATAATTGAGAAATTAAGGTGAGTATTCCCAAAATTTTTTTTTTTTTTTTTTTTGTTCAGTTTCTTCTTATGAAGAGAGTTTTCATGTGACAGGAAATAAACTAGACACAAGAAGATTTCTTAATGACTCCTCTTACAACTTTGACGCAGACTTTTACTTGAACTGTTACTCAGACTGACTACTTGATATGTTGTTTTTTATTTATACATGTTACAGGTGTAGTATTAAACAAGAATACACATGAATATTTAACAAAAAAATGCTTGGCTCTATTCTAAATCATTATTTAAAAAGTATGAGATTTGTAATAAATAATTATACATGTTTAAAAGTTGAAATCTTGCAATAATTTCATGTGTTTTAAATGTGTACATTTGATCTTTATAAATTATGAGTAAATTTTACTTTGTTAGTGTCCACTCAGTAGGGACATTAATAATTTTCACTAAAAAGAAGTTTTATTTTGTCTGAAACTCATTAATTAATAGAATATGTTGTAACGTTGTCTCTGCTATAATTTGAATCTGTCTAATTTGTTCATTTTACCAAATCTTATACAAATTTTTTAAAGTTTTTCTTCACAAACACTTAAAACTAAAATATTATTGCTTTCCCATACATTGTAACCATTTCAAAATGTTTTCAAGTAGGATTGAATCTGGTTATATGTAAATAAACTCTCACATTTGGCTTAAAATAATAGCTGTTTATTTGATTTTTTTTTACAGTTTACATTTGTCAGAAACTAATTTCTATTCATATTCCATATTCTATTCATATTTGAAGGTTATTTTGTCTTTTGAGAAGCCAATGTTAGGTAGTTTTGAACAAATTAAATGTTAAACATTTTGTACTCAGTAACAGTAAATTATGCAAATGTTTCTTCATAAAGAGATGGATTGAGTTAATTGAGAGCAAATGTCAAAACAGAAAACTATTTATGAAATATTGTAGAAGCATTAAACTTTGAAAAAATGCCCATAAAATATCATAACATGATCATTAATCTATAAGGAAGAAGGATATAATTATCTCATAATTATTGTGTCTAGTTATATATCTTCTTTCATATGCAAGTTATTCCAAATTTACCAAAATGTAGACATTATCATTATTATCATTATGTGCATGTTTTGCATCTCATCTAGATTCTACCATGTATTGATTTATGATATACAACAAGCAAACTTACATTATCTACTTTGCTTGTTATGACAGTACAAAGATGTGGATGTCATAATGTGTTGTATGTTTAGTTGGAAATTCACTAATTGATTCCCTTTTGCTTTTTTCACTATTTCTTGTTTTCTGTTCTTTTCTCCTTTCCAAACTCATTCATTCTTTTTTCTCTGGTATGCACACTATGATTGTATCAATTTGTCTATATAATATTTGGCCTGTAACTCCTATTTCCTTGCTCATTCTTTTTATTCTTTGGCCTGTAACCCCTTGTGGAGAAAATTGTGAAAATGGCCTACCTCAGAAACGCCCGCAAATCTGTGTGATGTGTAAACTCCGGTTGCTCAACGGTAAAAAGAACCAAAATGGTGGCGCCCATGTTTTATGCCAGGCAGTCTTGGACAGTTAACATGAAATCTCGTCTCGTCATTCGCATGCAAATCGTGGTTGGTCCTTGGCTGTATAAAGCAGGCACGTTTTTGTTTCTGATTACTGTTTTTTTGTTTTGTTTTTTTTTTTTGCTCTTGAGAAGGCCATGTGACACTGTTTTGTCAGAGTTACCCTCCTCGTGGTTTTTCTTATCTGCTACTATCAGTTGAGTCATTGCTTTACCACCACACCCCTATTACTTTGTTCATTCTCTTTACCCTTTGATTTGTAACCCCTTTTTGTTTATTCATTCTTTTCTTTGGCCTGTAACCCCTATTTCTTTGTCCATTCAATTTTTTCTTTGGCCTGTAACCCCTATTTCTTTATTCATTCTCTTCATTCTTTGGCCTATAACCACTATTTATTTTTCCATTCTGTTTTTTCTTTTGCCTGGAACCACTATTTCTTTGTTCATTCACTTTATTCTTTGGACAGTAAACCTCTTTCTTGTTCCATTGTCTTTTTTCTTTGGCCTGTAATCCATATTTGTTTTTTCATTCTCTTTTTTCTTCAGCCTATAATCCTATTTCTTTGTTCATTGTCTTTTTCCTTTGGCCTGTAACCCCTATTTCCTTGTTCATTCTTTTTATTCTTTAGACTGTAATCCCTATTTGTTTTTCCATTTTCACATTTTCTTTTTTTCTTTGACTTCTAAACCCTATTTATTTTCCCATTTTCACATTTCTTTGGCTAGTAACCCCTATTTCTTTGTTTTTATCTCTTTATTTTTTGGACAGTGTACCTATTTCTTTTCCCATTGTCTTCTTTTCTTCAGTTTGTATCTCTATTATTCATTTTTTTATTCTTCAGACTGTAACCCTTATTTCTTTATTCATTCTCTTTACTCTTTGGACAGTGAACCTATTTCATTTTCCATTGTCTTTTTTCTTTGGAGTGTAACACTTTTTATTTGTTCATTCTCTTTATTCTTTGGCCTGTAACATCTATTTGATTTTCCATTCTCTTTTTTTCTTCAGCTTGTAACCCTATTTCATTATTCCTTCTCTTTTTTTTCTTTGGCCTCTAACACACATTTCTTTGTTCATTCTCTTTATCCTTTAGCCTATATTCCCCTATTTGTTTTTTCTTTAGTCTGTAACCACTATTTCTTTGTTCATTCTCTTTATTCTTTGGACAGTATATGTATTTCTTTTTCCATTGTTTTTTTTCTTTTGTCTGAAACACATTTTATTTGTTTATTTTATTTTGTTTATTCTCTTTATTCTTTGACCTGTAACCCTCATTTCTTTCTTCATTCTCTTTTTATGTTTGCCTCTAACCCCTATATCTTTATTTATACTCTTTTTTTTCTTTGGCTTGTAACCCTTATTTATTTCTTCATTCTCTTTGTTTTTTACCCTGTAAACTCTACTTCTTTCTTCATTCTCTCTTGCCTTTGGCCTGTAACCCATATTTCTTTGTTCTTTCTCCTTATCATTTAGCCTCTAACCCCTATTTATTTTTCCATTCTTTTTTTTTCTTTGGACTGTAACCCCTATTTCTTTGTTCATTCCCTTTATTCTTTGGTCTGTATACCTATTTCTTTTTTCATTGTGATTTTCTTTGGCCTGTAACACTTTTTCTTTACCCATTCTCTTTATTCTTTGGCCTGCAACCCCTATGTCTTTGTTCATTTTCTTTTTCCTTTGACCTGTAACCCCTATTTCTTCATTCTCTTTATTCTCTGGCCTGCAACCCCCCCTTTCTTTTTCCACTGTCTTTTTTTCTTTGGCCTGTAACACCTATTTCTTTGTTGATTCTCTTCATTTTTGGGGGCCTGTAATCTTTGTTTATTGTCTTTATTCTTTGGCCTGTCACCCCTATTTTGTTGTTCATACTCTTTACTCCATGGTCTGTAATCCCTATGTATTTGTTCATTCCCTTTTTTCTTTAGCCTGTAAACTGTATTTCTTTATTCATTCTCTTTATTCTTTGGCCTGAACTCCTTATTTCTTTTTCCATTCTATTTTTTCCTCTCTGCTTTTGCTTTCTTTATTTTTCATTTCCCATTCATTTTACTTTCCTTTTTTCAAAACTTTTAGAACTCTGAATGTTATTCTGTGCTGCTTCAGCCAACTTTAAATTGCTAGTAGACTTTACTATCAGTTGCCATAAAATCAATCACTTAAAACAGCAACAGACTTAGGGTCAAACTACTTATTAGCTATGAAGTGTATAAATATTGTATTTCATCTTGATTCTTTTGTTCATGAACTATTTTACTGCATTGGAGTCTTTCTATTTTTGTCACTTCTTTTTTATACTCTTATTTTCTTATCTTTTTTGCTTATTATTATTTTTGTTTCTTTCATCAAAATCTTTGCTTTTTATCTTACTTGTAGAATTAGCATCTTCATCTTTATTTACATGCACACTATTGGCCTCCTCATAACTCTGTGCCCTCTGGGCTTTTATTAGGTACTTGTCAATCTGGTTAACCTGGGAATTTCAAACTTGAACCCTTTATTTAATCTACAGGTGTATATTGTTCTTATCTAGTTTTTATTTAGTACCACTCACTTATTGGTTACCCTGGTTCCACTGAGTAAAAATCTGCACTGCCCAGCATAGGGATTGAAATCAGAATTCCTGTGTCACCAAATTCACAAATCAACACTTTAATCCACTTGGCTATTTTTTGTGGGACAATTCTGAGTGGAAAACATGGAGTCTTAAACCTAACCTGCCTACTGATGAAAATAAAGTAAAATATGATGACTCCTCATCCCAGAAATTGAGATAAAATGTCTTGATCTTAACTCTTCAACATTCAGATATCTGTTCCATTCAGTAAACACCAAGGAGTTTCTAAATTAACTTTTTGATCAGAGGACTTATGTTTTTCCATCCTTTATAAACAAAAATAACAATGCTTGTTTCTAAAAAAATGTTGTGTCCAAGATTATTTGATACTGTAGTTGAAGAGAATATTATAACCAAATTTAGGATAAAACAGCAGAATTGATACTTCCATTTTAATCTTAGTTATTAGGGCCTGACTTAACTAAAATTGTTCATATTTCTCACATACTTTAAATATATTGAAGTTAACTTAATAACTTTTCTTATTAGACTGAATGCAGTATTTGCAGCAATAGTAATATCAGCTTCCTGTTTTCATCTGGTTATAAGTGTATTTGTGTTCTGTTCTATTTATTACTTCAGATGCTTGTAAATATAGCTCATGTTTCTATGATCTTATATAGACTGCATTAATACAATAAACTAGAATCAGCAAAAAGCTGAGGTTGCAAACATAACTCTGCACTCTTCCTTTGTTCATATTAGACAAGCATTGGTTTCTCTTACTTGACATTTGCTGATGCAATCACAAAACTAATCTAGTTGCCAATAACTTTATCTTCTTAATCTATTCAATGCAATGGTGCTGTTTTTATTCACATTTTGTTTGGTGTGAACCGACATACAAATTATTCTCTACTTTTAAAGTATATGCTTAGAAAAAAGCAGTTAGTCTGTTACAAGTCAGGTGAAAATGTTGGTTGTTATTTCCACCTGTGGCAGATTGCAAATTCACATGACTTCTTTTTTATTTCCTCTTTTTTTTTCTGATTCATCTCTATGAGTGTCCAGGTTGCTGGGAGAGAGATGGGTGTTTTTATTGAGACACCATCTCTAGATAGATTTCTAAAGAGTTGACTATATGGTAATGCAACTGTTGACAACTTCCAATGTTTTGCCACTCCATATGTTCATGTTTTATATAAGTCTGCATTTGAAAATGTCCAGTCCATTTAAGGTCCATCTTAATACCAAAAAATAATATCATTATTTAGGTTGATGTATATATTTTCAGTTCCATCTTTTACACAATATTAGGAAAATCATAGAAATGTCATTTAAGTTTATTCTGCTCTTTATTGCTTCTGCAATCAATAAGTATATCATTTACATACCTTTTGGGAAATGATTTCCATATAGAAAAGAACAAACATTTGTATTTCCCTCTTTATTCAAAATAGAAAAAAAAAGTTTTTAAACCAGATAGGAACTGGTAATGAAAAATGAATTTATTATGAAAATTGAACATAATAAAATTCATAGCTAGATCAACATCACAACCTGAACATAGTTCATTGGAAGAAAAGATCTTTTCTGTATTTATTGGGATTCAAAGAGAATGTTTTATTATGAATTGCTTGAATCTCAATAAAAACTTAGTATGAAATGCTGTAATGAACAATTGGTTTGAATCACACACTGGAAGATAAAAGTTTGTTTTTTTTTCTAGTGAATTTTTGCATAGTAATATTTATGTTCCTATTATAAATGCAACATAATAAACAATCGTGATAATGGGATGAGAAGTTCTTCCACATGTGTTCTGCAAACCTGTCACCTTCAAACTTTCACTTGTTTGTTCCATGTATTCTTCTTTTGTCTTATCTGTGATTTCATAAAGGTTTTTTAAACCTTTTGAAATTTTATGAATTGAGGAATTTTTTTTTTATATTTCATCTCAAAAAATTCTTCAATTAATAAAATCAAAACCAAAATTGCATTTTTATTTTTTTTTTTTTTTAATAATTAATTACACAATTAAACTGAAATATAGCGTGTCATAGAAATCCCAAGAAAAATACTTGATGGTTGAATAAGAATGCTATAAAGTCATAAAATAATAACATGATTAATATACTTACAGATAGGTGAGAGTATAATACAACACTTGGAAAATAAAACTTGTGAAAACAAATTGGCACAATTAAACATTTTTGTTCATAATGAAATATATAAAATTATTTTATATGCAATAGATTAGCATTGTTTCAGGCAAGTAGAAAAATATATATTTTGAAATATGAATTGTGTTTATGAATTCAAAATGCATCATAAGAAATCTTCAGTTTGTTTTATTGTATTTCTGTCTGTGTTGTTTGCAAAAGCTCCAATTTGTTCTAAAAGTTTCTTTCTCACCTTGATTCCTTTGAGTTTCTGATGAAAATAAATCAGTAAGAATGCAAGAAGAATACAAAATACATCCAAGAGCAGGACAGTAATTCCTGAGAGATGTCTGGTGCTTGTGTAGATCAAGCTGACCTGCTTATTAATTAGGTAGGCACATGAATCTTTACTGTTTGTAAAATCCAACCTATCACTAGGACTTCTGATATAATCCATGTGTAACCCGTGGCAGACTATTTGCATTTTGTTAGTTTGATTACCACAGCTGGGATACATCAGTTGCAAATTTCTCCAACAGAAGGACAGTTTTCCAGGCTCAAGTTTGTGGTTTTTACAAATATCATCAACAGTAGGAATTTTAAAGTAATCCTTGAAGAAAATTGGTTGAGCATGTAGAAAATGTAGACCAACAAGAAATTCTGCAAATGAAACCATAATCAAAAGGATAGCAGAATGTTTCTGTTCAAGACAACTGAGACCAAAACTAGAAATGGCAATATTCAAGATACCGCCATAACCAGGTACTTCTAGTCCATTGCAAGGTTGAGCTTTGAGAACAAATACACAAGGAATGGGTTGAAGAGCATTGCGACATTTTAGCAAGAAACCCACACCGACACTTATTTGAAGTATGCCTATAAGAAAATTGAAAAGAAAGGTTATCCTGAGGAGTTGCTGATTACCTGTAAAGAGTGGGATTTGCTGGGTGATAAAAAGAAGTTTTTTATTCATAGTTTTTTGTTCTTTTTTCTGCCAAAAATTCTGTGTTGAGATCTGAGATGAGGTTTCAGATATTATCAGATGAGTTTCGATAGAGGAACAGTCCACATCAGCAACTTTCTGCATAAAGAAATTAAAAGTGAAAATGTAATTCATTTAATTAAAATAAAGCAACAGATATTTCTATTAAAATATTTTTAAATTTAGAGGCTCATAATATGGCATATATATGTGAGTCCTCTCTCTGGTCAAACATTTATTCCTTAAAGATCTGAAGGTTGGTCATTTAGTTAAGTTTAGGGAAGTACATTCAGCCAAGAATTTTTTGGTATTCATTTATATAATATATTGTTATTTCCAAAGATTGGCTAAAAAAATGAGCATGCGTGATGAAAAAAAATACCCAAAACTTAAGAAAAACAAAGTTTTATTGTCAAAATAATGGTTCAAGGGGAGTAATCTTATTTTCCTTTTGTATCCAAATAGATTACTTTTGATATGGATATTAATACAAGTAAAATGCAGGTTTCAAACATTTTCTGCACTATATAAGATGATATTCCTAAACAGAGCTATTTGATATGAAAATCAAAACAATCCTCAAATAAAAGAACAGTAATGAAGGACAGTTAATTAATGGAATATACTTTTTTAAAATCAGTATTAGTTAAATTTGAAAAGCAATATTGCCTAGAAGTAGATAATATATAATAGATATGGAGCTTTTAGTGTGTAAATTACAATAAAGTAGAGTTGGAGGCCTTTTAGCCCCAGAATTTATGGAAGAATTAAGGAC